GGGGGTATCTCATCCCCCAAACCCATAACCCCTCAACCCTGGTGGCAGCAGAATTTGATCCCAGGTCTCTGCTACAAAGTACAAACAGCCACATAACCTACCAACTGAGCCAGGCTTTGCTATTTTCCTCTTTCACTACTATTAATAAATGTCTTGGACTGTTATTACTGGTCACACACAACAACACAGAAAGGAGAAAAATAAATTAAAAAGAAACAAAAGATGAAACCAAGCAACTCAGGTTGATGTAGTTCAGTACTTCTACATAGTAACTACTCAATATATGTGATGTTTCAAGGTAAATGACATTTTATTTGTTGAGAGAAAATATATTAAAGCCTTTTCAATGTGGTGATTGAAGGATTGACTCCATATACAACTTCAGTGGACTTTGGTCTTTAGGACTTAACATAATGCAGCTTGTGAATGATGTGTAAATGGAAAAAGATCTTTACAGAGTTCTGTTACTTATTGGAGGATAATTACTACTCATAGATTGCTAACCTTCATCTATGGTAAAATTCAACGGCCGTAAGGGATTATCATCACAATTTGCAGATTTTATCCTAATGATGGAGATTCATGCATGATTCCACTATTAAGTAAACATCATGGCCATGTCAAATGTAAAAATAATAATAATGGCAGTCAATCAGCAAATACTTCACCGTTTGTCTGCATCAGCCTAATATTGTAAGGAATTTGCATTGTGCATGTACAGTAAAAAGCATCATGTTTGTGATATTTCCCATGAATTCCTTGGGCAAAAGATGTATAAGTTTTTATTCACTTCCATGCGTTGGTATTCGCAACTTGAAGAAAGACATTGCATCCGGTAAAAGCAATCTATAGTTGACTAGTACTTCAGTTATATTGGTCAAACCTATAAATTGCAAGGAAAAACTCATGGCATGAATCACACATATTGCAGCCCATGGTAGTGGTAAAGAAAACGAGAATGCAATATCAGGGTCAAATGATCCAGATTCAGGTTTTATAATGAAATTAGATTTAAATATCTAGCGCAAAATAGAGCCTCCATCCACGCCCAGTCGACAGCGGACCATTATAAAGACAAAATTCTGATCTTTTCCGGTTAGTTCAAGCAATAAACATCGGAAGGCACATATTTCCGATCCAAAGTTCCAAATTCAAAGAAAAACTCAACCGAAACTGGTTTTAAACAGAATAAAAAAAAAAAAGAAAAAGAAAACACAAAAAAAAAACAACCTGACATTGCTTGGCTTTAACAAGAAACTCCTTCTGAACAGAGAATGCCTCCTCGAGGATCTTCGATATTTCTAGAACCTTTCCTCCGATCTTTGTCGCAGCGGCAGAGACTCTACCGAGGAATTTTGCCACGAAATCATCATAAGCAACGATTGCCGGATCAACCGGTGCATCTGCGCCATCTTCCGACGAACTCCCGGGACGGAATCCAAGAGAAAGCGCTTCCAGACGAGCCACTGCCGACTCCAATCTTTGAATCAGCTTCTCCTCCATTGCTAGGGCTTGATCTAATATCTATCTCACACTTTCTCTTATATACTAAAAGTAGAGCTGTGTTTTTGCTGTTCGTATCAATCACCTGACCTGGCCAAATATGCTGTTCTACTCTTTCAAGCAGAGGAGAACGATAGAAAGGAAAACTATTTTGTTACTCTTTTTACTTGTGGATGACTTCACCGAAAGGCAAAAAGCGCCAGTGGCCCCGGCCGCTGAAGACCGAAAGCTTTGACGCACCCCACTTTACCGTTTAATTTTGGGGCGATAATTGGCGCGGATTTTGTACAGCAAAGCTATCTGTCAGATGTTTGTCGGGTACGGAGATCGTCAATTGGGAGTTTGTATGTGCGACTCCATTGGAACTATAATGCAGACTTCTATCATACACCGTCAATCTGAACCGGCGGTGTAACTTCTGAGATCAGGAACCTTTGCTGATTACCATTGGATCTCTGCTTCTCGAGATTGGATACGCGTTAGCGGGATCCATTGATACGGCAACAAGTACAGACCCATGGCCCAGGGACAAGCGTGCACGAGTGATTATTGTGATCAGCTTAACTGTACGTCACTATAATTTTTCCCGGTTATTACGCCACTACTGTTTCATGGATCATTGGATTTTGATTCGTTATGGGTCCCTACACTCTTGTTGTTGTTGTTGTTAAGAGCAGAATCTCAGCCATCTGTTTAGTTGACTTGGGACTTGGTGTTAGGTCCTAGGTAGTCTCACTGGTGTTGTATGGTATGGGATGCGCATGGAGTAGGGTTTCACGGTTTGGGTTGAGACGTTGGATTAAGGCTGACCTCAACCCGACCTAACCCGGCCCGACACTATGTGGACCGGGTGGTCCCGGCACCGTGTGGTTTAATTCTGGTGCAGTCGCACAGTATCGGTCTTTTCATCGGGTTTCGCTTTTTTTAGCCCATCATCGACGGTCCTGATATATTTATTCGCTCTGGCACTCAGGGGGGACCATTCCCACCTTCATTTGAGATGGGTCCCATTTGACACCACACCAATTCGCTGGTCACTGTTTTTCCTCTCACGTGAAGGGACCCTTCGTTAGCAGGAATGTCAGACATGGTTGGTTCATGCAAACAGGGCCCTTAACCTCGTCTTAACACGTGCCAATCACTTGCCAGCACCTTGTCACGGATGGCATAGGGTAGTAGACTGGTAGTGGTGTCTACTGTGAATTCACAACAGCACAGCTGTGTATTGGGAATATCTTTCGATGATAGTATAAAAAATGATGATGTCATCAATGAAACTTGTCTTTAGAATCATGTTTTATTCAAAACCTAAACAAAAAATTGATTAATTGATACTATAAACATGAAAAAGAAGTATATTACATTATAAAAATACTCGAATGAAGGAGAGATAAAATATATGTTAATCCTATAATAAAAAGCAATAAATAGAATGCCATTTGATGTCTAAAAGGTCATTTTATGAGTAGTTGGGTAGACGTTGAATTTAAAGAGGACCTAGTGGGTATAAGAGGAAAAATATTATAAAAATTTTGTTTCACATTCCCTACTATAAGTGAGCATTCATAAGTGTTCATGTATCGGTAATTATCCCAGTCTACCCATTTTAACATTGGAAGGACGGTCTTTGCTTTCCTTCCACCTTGGGGGGAGGCCACTACAATCCTTTCGATCCTCTTCGTGGGACTACAACGAGAAAATCAAAGCCAACAATGAAAGGCCCCACGGAAAAGGGAATAAGGGGTTAAGGAAAAGTTCATGATCATGGCCTTTGTTGCTTAACTAGTCTCAATTCTTATAGGAATTCGAGAGCATGTCTGCAAATGGATTGGGTCAAATCGGATATAGGCAGATCGAAATTTTATTTGTTTATATTTGAATTATAATTTGAATTTATCCATTTGATATTTAACAGATTCAGAATCGAAATGGGATTTTAATGGGATATTAAATAGTATGAATAAATTTGATTAAAATTTATCAAAATATCTATATTATTAATAAATTGGGTTAAAATAGTTCTAATATTTATTTTTTGAACAAAATGAATTGAAAATTATTTGCATAAAACTTGAACATGTGAAAATTTAGTGGATATACAACATTGAGAACAACTTCAATGATATATATAATATAAAATTTAAGCATATATATATATATAATCAAACTGAATTATACTGAATTGGATAAAGGTGAACCCATATTTGATCCAATTATAAATGGACTGAATTCGAATCACCTTCTAATAAGATGAATTTGATAATCAGATACTGTTTGTAGTAACACCGGATCTCCTATGATTCACAACACACTATCCCTGTGAATTGGGAACATCTCTCCCTGCATAATACTATGTAGGAGGAGGAGATGTTCTCCATGTGACTGCAATGTTATATGGGTAGACGTGAGTAGAATTTGTGTGGGCAGGAGATCTGAACTTGTTTGCAGCCCTATCCAAGAGATATGAGTTCAAGTGTCCAATGATTGTGTGTTAAACATGGATTTGAAGTCAATATTTTTGGGTATTTGAGTATCCAAATCGACGTACGTTTGATTCAGATGTTAGTGATTATGCATATAATCAGCATAAATCTATATAATTAAATTAAATAGCCATTACTCAATATCAGCCCTAGCTATCTAGGTTTTTGAGAGGGGGTGGATTGGATACGGTACCTTTTAGAATTTTTTTAACATATGGTAGCCACTCACAGATTCGCATTCTTACGCCTGTCGGTCAAGATTTTACCATTACACCAACCAATGTCACCTAAAATAGATTCTTAGATTAAAACACAAACCAAACATGTAGTGTATTTTCATTAACACATAACATACACATTTTCAACATTTTATTCATATTTATCATGATTTAGGCTGTATTTAGTATCATTGCCACTTCAGTCTCAAACATTTAGGGTGTTCAACAACAAGGCTAATTTTGTTTTTAAAAACAATAACAATTGCCACATCAAAAAAATAATATAATTTTGCTCCTATGTCAGTTGTTATTGTTTTCAAAAAGCTAAACCAACCATGTTGTCCAACTAGGCAATGACAATTCATGTCTAATTAGAGTTTTTGAAGGGTATTTGGTGTATTTAAATTAAGTGTCTTCTTTTTTTATTTTTTTACTTTGTGGTTGTCAATAGGTATTTCAGGTTTAGGTTGTATTTCATTGTTTTGGGAGTCTTCTAGCTTTTGTGGTCTTTGTTGAGAGGTTATGACTTTCGTTTGCTGGCGATTTCTTCATCGGCATCAATTGCAAAGGCCTTAATGACACTCATGGTGCTCAGCTCTTTTAGGTTGTTGTTTTTATCTTTGTGGTGCTCAACTATTTGTTTTCTTGTAATTTGAGCATTCTCAATGGAGAGTTGTCTTTTTTTTAGCGTAAAAAAACCATCAAATATTCAATTTTAAAAAATAAATATATTTTGTTTGATAATTTACTCATTATTATGAGATCAAATCAGCCCCTCACAAGATTTTGCCCCATAATGTCACCGTGTATCAGAAACATCTCCCAATGATGACATCATCATTGGGAAATGTTCCAATGCACGGCAGGAATGTGCATATTGTGGGACGCAGTCTTGTGGGGGTAGATTTAAATTCCATTATTACACATAGATTAACATATAGATGCAGATATAATGGTTTTAGAAGCATTAAAAAAAAAAACATTTTTCTTGGAAGAATTATGGGTATTCATGGTATATATCCATCTTTGCTAATATGAGGCATACACTACCACCTAGGATGCCAACTTATAGCCAAGAGATTGTTTCTTCAAATGAGTAGCTAATGAAGGAAACACCAGCTTGGAATTTTCCACAAACACCCCTGGTTCATATTTGTAGTCAAAATCTTTTATGGCCATTTTATCTCAAAATAGTTTTAATCAATCAGAAATTCGATATTTCAACTCAAATTGTCTAGGTGACACTGACATGACAGCGTTCCAACTGAAAATAGATGGTACAATCACCTTAGTTGTAATGGAATCCACTTGCATATCTCGATTTTCCATCTAGCCCCAACAGCCCATTGAATTAGGATATGCTCTTCGTAGAGCACTCCTCACATCCACCTATAGGGGTGTAAATGGATTAAATTTGACTCGAATCAAGTAATATTTGAATTTGAATCTGATTAGAAAAATCAAATATTTGAAATTGTTTTGATATTTGATAGATATTGACAATTAATATTTGAATTTAAATTCGATTAAATGTTTGAATGTTCGATTTTATTCGAA